TAAAAGAGTTGGCATTTCAGTCCAAGATCAACACAGCACCTATGTTACAGCTAAGGGCATTGAAGCTTCTTTCTGCTTTGTCTTGTCACACCTTGAAACTTTCAACAGCCTTAAAAGCACCTCTGGCATCTTGCCCAGACTTTCTGGCTTAACCCAGCACAATTTGCTTTTCCTCCACTTCTGATGTCTTGATTTCACTAGCGGTCTCCCAAAACACAAAGCAGGAAAGGAATAAAAAGCACCAGCCTCTTAGCATCATCCAAAATGCAGCAGCGCACCACATCTCATCCCAAGACAGAGGCCTGGTTTGGACAAAAGCAAATACTTTTGTTTGCCCTTCGCAGTTCTACTGCTTTGGTAGGACAGCATATGCAAGGGCCTGAGACCCTCTTACTTTGCACCTTGTTTGGCAGAATCAAAAGAAACCATTAGGTGCCACAGTACCAGCTAGCCCAATGAGATGCAGTCAAGGTATTCAGCTGGACAAAATAAGCTGCTTCTGTTTCCAGAGAAGCCAACCAAAAAAGCATCAACCTTAAACAGCAATATACAGATGCACCAGCCTTCCCACTCTTGGGAAAACCAGCTTCATCTCAGGGCACCAAATACCAGACCCTACTCCAAAACAACTCATTTCTAGAGGGTCAAAACACCACTTACCTTGTGGGACAGTCCTGCAAAGTTTTAAACAGATGAACTAGAAATAGTCAAGACTAAGCACACTGTTACCAGGGCCTCCTCAGCAGTTTCACCAAGCTCCACAGAACAATTTTAAGGCCAGTTCCAGTGCTGTCAGCCAGCCAGGTGCTGCATAAGCACTTTTATAGGTGCTGCAGCCTCACACAGTAGCCTCCTTCTTAAGGAATCGGGAGGAAAGCAAGAAATACAAGATTTCCTGCCGAAATATGAAAGAAATTGCACATCTGGGACTTTGGCAAAGTCTGGGCAAATTTCATTTTGTTTATCAGCCCACCACCGCAGAGTCAGAGTCTACAGAGTAGCATCGAATAGTAAAACAGAGGGCTAGACCACATGCTGTTGCAGGAACCACACTGCTATGGGATTGGATGTTCAAAAACACCTCTGCAAAGGAGGTTTTCACCTAATCCAGCCCACAGTGACATTTACCTGCCACAGATGTTAAACAGCACTTTTAATTTATAAAGATCCTCCAGCTGTGGGTTTGAGGATTTTTTTTTTTCTATCACCACTTCTGGGTTTGAAACCCAGCATCAGCAACCCTTACGGAGTCATGATTTGGACTTCATTTCACCCCACATGTGCTAAACCAGAATGATTTCTTCAGTTCAGAGTGGGCTGAATTGCTCTTCCAAAAGACCACTACTATAGTAAATGGCAGGTCAGAAAAGCAAACCCTCTGGGAGGTGCCATTCACATGGTCCTGGAACATGCAACGTATTGGTCAGATGGATGCAGGCGCACACTATTTTGGCTACACATATCAAAGCTTTGCCAAGCTTTGGTCAGCAGGGGCAATATTTCAGCCCAGTTCCTCAGCCTGAGGGGAAAGAGCAAGCTCTGGGGAGACTGCTGCTATCCACTGAACCCAACGAGTCGCGCAAGAGCATCTTCCGAGAGCAATCTCACATGAAAGCCTACAAAGTATGGAAATATCCCACAGCCACAGCTGACAGGTAAAACTTTCAGCAGAAGGGTCACTACCTTTTAAGATATGTTAAAATAAAACATAGCAAAAGAAACAGTTAATCCCTTTAAAAAAATAAGATACATTCACATGTCTTCTCACTTCCTTCCAGTGTTGCTAAAACCACAGGAACACTGCTTACTACAGCCTGGACACAGAGAAAGTGTTTATCTTGCACCATGGGCTATTTCTTTTCTCTTTTGCTCTCTGCGAATGGCTCTTTTGTCTCACAACGTTGTCCTCTCATTCACAGCATGAGGCCAGCCACCGCTTCCCAAACTCAGCGCAAGAGTCTGTCCTGACACTTCTTTGCATTTGTAAACTTCTGTTTTGAACAACAGCTCAGCACAAAACTTAACTTGTATAACCTAGGCTCTCAGCTTGGCCCCTTTTCAAACCTACTTGGCATTCCCAGAGCTGTACAGAGATCCACACAGCCTCCAAACTAACTGAATTTTAATGAGAGGAAGTAGTTTTTCCACTGGAAGAATGTTGTGCTAGAGAAATATTTTGAAACTTCTCTAACCTTTCCCGCCAGACTTTTTCTGCAACAGCATATGAGCAAGGAAGTCACCATCTGTGCACTCAACTGATGAAAGCAGCAGAGCTCTGCTTTGCTTGTGACCCCAGCTAGACCTAGAGTTTAAATAATTAGAACTTTCTAAACAAAACCAAAAAAAAGTCTTGGGTTCGTCTTGGTTTCAGTTCTGACAACGCTTCAGAGAAGCAGGAAATGAATCCCCATAAATTAGAGATCTTGCTGATCTGTGCTGAAGAAAAGCCTGTTTAAGCCCTCCAAAGCCTTCCACCCCACTCCAGGTTAACTTGATCATTTTAGTTTCCAGCAAAAGGAGCAAACACTACATGCAGGTAACCCTATGGCTACAGAAAACCCTGGGGAACATCATCTTAGCAAGCTGAGGTGTTCAGGACAGTTACCTACAGAACAGGTACAGGCAGGAGCAGCTTCATCTTACTGTAGCTGGAATTCAGAGTATAGAAATTAATAACTTTCTAGGAATACATGATTTTATATCCCTTTTCCATTCTTCTGGGCTCAGATTTTTTCCATAGTTTCTACTTAGACTTGAAGATTGCAGAGAGAAGAAAGAAGGAGCCCAAAGGAAATTAGCCTGCTGAGATATGAATTAGGAGATTAGATTATAGCCTGCTGCCTTCAGGAAACCTATTACATTCAGTTTAAAGCTTGGGAACATACTGAAAGCCATTTGTCTGATGGAGAAGATGAGAGGAAAGGACAAAGATCAGAACTGGAGAGGCTATTTCTTTAACATATGTACTAATATTATACAACACATGCGAGCGCAAGAGAAACAAACCTGCAAATTGTTCACTAGGCCAAGTTTCTCTGGAAGTGCTTGCAATAATCTGGTAGCTATGTCTTGTGCTAGGAGCTGACAACTGGGCAAAGGTCTCCAGTGAAGAGGAACAGCAGCTCTTTTACACTATCTTCCAAAAGCTACATTTCACAAGCCCTGTTAACTTGTACTCATCAGGGATAAGATCATTTGCAACATGGGAGCTAGTGTCCAACTGCCTGGGAAGGGCTAACAGCAGAGCTGGGAGCACGCTGATATCCTTAAATGCATGTGTTGCCCTGCCTAGCACTGGGCCTCTCAGTCTTCGCTCCAGATGAGCGCCAAAAGACAGCATAAGAACATCTCAAGCTTTAGGGGCAGTTATAGAAACTGTATTTTTGCTGGTATTGCACCTACATCAGAATACCTGCGTAGCCCTGTGCACCTCGCACCCTCCAGCAAGCCAGATATCATTACAGCCTCGTTAGAAAGAAAACAGCAATACAGAGTTGTGCCTGAGCACACTCTCAGGGGACGACGCAGGAGCTGGACGGGGCTGCGCCTTCCCTTTCCAAATCACAACAAAATGAAGTATCATCATTAAATTACTGCCTCCTTATCCAGTTTGGATGCAATACCAACTTATTTAAGAGGATCTATTAGATCTCTAGGTCCAGTGGCCCCCCAGAAAAGCTGACTGCTTTACATAACAGCTCTACATAAAATATCACATCCAGTGTGACTGCAGAAGCTTTTGGCAGAATGTCCAATACTTGTGAAAGATACTCCAGTGCCCATTAAACCCAGCTTTTACTTTCCGTTTTAATTGTTAAGCTTCCCAGGGAATGTCTATTAGCTTAATGCAGTTCAGAGATCCAGTTCTAACCCCCTAACTGGGATTTTGGCAGCAATGTTCAGTCAATGCATTCTTGCTGTTTACAGCAGGCCAGCTCCCAGATGTCAGCAATGTTAAACAGTCTGGAACTTTCCTTCTGAGTGACAGATAGCGCAATGCAGATGAGAGCTGACCTCAGTACAGCTCTAATTATCCCCCACTGTTATAAGATGCTCCCCATTCCTTTGCGGCATTTGTCAGCTAGGCCCATGAGATATACACAGCTCTTCCTTCCAAGCAAACAATAAATAAGGAAATACAGAAGTCAATAGGTCTTAGTTTACACTCCTTTGCACTGCCTCCGATTTCAGGGAAGCGATTCTAGCTTTCAAGCAAGACCAGAGTCAATATTCTTGCACGCACAAAAGCCTCAGAAGTGCAGCAGATCACTGAAACTGACTGCTAGTCAAATTTTTACATCAAACTAGCCACTATACTACAGAAAGAACTACAATATTCCCTTCTTCTCTTTAAATAATCCTGTATCTCTCTGCTTAAGAGGAGCTAATGGGAACATTCCACCCACTAAGGTTTTGGGTTGCTTTTTAAAAGCAGTCACTGTGTGGGAGGTGGCAAGGCTGCTATACAAGCTGTTGAGGAGACACTCCTGCACCACAGGAGAAACCAATAATCAATGACCAACACATGGGGAACAAACAAATTCTTATCACCCTCAGTGAACTGACTTGCAAGGGAGCTGCTTTCCTCAACCTCTGCTCACCGCCCCTGACGTATGACCTAATCACAATGCAGGGGTGAATGAAATCCTGTTACATCCAAGAGTGGAGCAATTCCCCAAACTAAACAAACCAAAAGTCTGAAAACTACAGACAAAATCCTGGTGCAGCAGCTCATCTAGATCCCCAACAGGGGCATGAAACCAAAGAGAAGCAGGAGAGCTCATTCCAGCAGATCTGGCCCGCTGTTTTAATCACTATTACAGAAAGCATTTACCTAGTCAAAACACTCAAACACTGACAAAATTTTAATTGCATCTTAGAGTTCTACTACACAAAAACCCAGGAAGAGTCTTAAAAACAAGCTGTCTAACCACTTATCAGCCAGCACCCAGGTCATCAGCTCTGCAGAACGTCTCCAGTTGCTTATTGTCATGGCTTACCTCAAAGACTTCCTCATCCAGTATCCTCGTTCCAAACACAATAATGCCATTGACATCAATGATGGGGTGGTCACTTCGGTCCAAGAACTTGGTTATCTTCTTTTTACAGTCCAAAATTAAAGTGACATTTTTCTTTTGCACACTGATGGCTACTCTGTGCCACCTAGAAGAACACAGTCCCATGGAAAAGTTAAACAGAGCTTTGGGCGTTCAAGAACAAGCCAATTTTATAACAATGACTCTTTCATGAAATGATGTTCCTGCAAAACTACACACCAGTCATCATCTGCAAAAGGACAAAAATTATCCTCGGGCAGACCCTGTGTTATTTGAAATAGAAGTTACTATAGCTGTGTTGACAGACGGTGCCTACTCACCACCTATCCCTGCGGAACAGGTAGGGGAGTATGCTCTGGTTTCAACACGAAGTAGACGAAAAAACTCTCTCAAGGCTGTTCCCGAACTATCCCTCTCTGTCACCCTCCTTATGTCCTGCAAAGTATGTAATATGGACATAGCACGGCACACTGATTTATTTAGGCCTTTTAGAGAGAAAGTCAGTGTTCCTATCCCCCATAAATTTCAAATAATCTGCACTGACTAGTACGAGAGTCACTTTTTTTCATATCTGCAGTATTATCTGGCAAAGCATAAAGTTCAAGAATGGGAGACTTGGCAGTGGTAAATGGTGTGTATATACATTAATACATAACTTCTATTTTACACACAATGTTCAACATATGCTGGTATTGATATAAATAACGTACTGTTTTTCCCTTTGTGCACAAAGTTTCACTTACTTGCCATCTGCTAGGTTAATGCCTCTAAAGAGAGGATAGTCTTCTGGGCCTGGCTTTCCTGTATGGTCTTCATACAGGAATACAGGAGATCTACCCATCTCCACACCAATTTGCTGGATCCCTTGCTCATTGTAAATTGAGATCAAGAAGGACTGACCTCCTTTCTTCGCTTTTACAGTGGTTAGAATGGAGAAGTCCTCTGGGAATGGGGAAGCTAGAGTGGAAAAGCAAAGAGGTTAGTCAGGTTCTTTCTGAAAATGCTTGTCTACTGGAACAGTCCCTGTCGTCTAAATGCCCATGGAGAGACCATTAGCAACTATTTACCCCTACTCATATGTGCACATGAGCAACCCTAAATTTGAATTGGGCAGCATCTTGGTTGCCATCTAAAGATCTGGCTTTCTCCCCAAAGCCTACCGTGCTACAGAGTTGTGATGTGATGCAACCCAAAGCGTACGGCAAAGCCAATGAAAGGCTGTGTCCCAAGGGCTACTTGCTCTAATAGCACCTTAAATAACAATCAGAAAGTCTTTTTTCTAGCCCATATTGAAATGTCTGTTACAGAGCCAACAGCCCTCCCATACCTGAACTAGCAAAGGACAGTGAGAGCTCTACTGTTCTGGGATGAAAGCACTTCAATAAAAAAGAGGTCCTGACAAAGTTGTTAGTCTATATTATTTGCATCCAACACCCTTCCTTGGTGGGTCCTGGAACTTTTTAGGAGACATGGCAAAAATGCATCACAAGGTCTCCAAATTGACTTAAGATGTCAGAGGGACAGAGGGAATTAAGCATCCTATGCCAGTTAAACACACACAACATTGAAGGAGTTTAATAGAGGAGTTGCATCAGATTTTGTCTATTTTAGACCAGAACAGAGCATTCTGTGGCTGTCTCACTGGGTTGGTACAAACAAAAAATTGAAAGCAGAAGTAAGTCTGACAATCAGTAGGAGACATTAGTTTGCCTGCATATTTAAAAGCAGCTAGCAAAAACTCTCTTAGCCTGTTAGGTGAGACATTGAGGGTTGTCTCCTTCACCCAGGATAGCAACCCTAGCTGCTCAGGTGATTGCCATGGGTATTTTTACAAGGTCTGAAGGATTAAAGCAGTACAGTGTGTACTGCTTTAATCAGTACAGAGCCAACACTCTTCACAGGGGAAGGGTCTATTCCCTGCAAGTCCAAATCAACCCATTTGAAGTTTCAAGCCAACATGGACATTACCAAGTCACACATACTCCGCATGGGGTACAACTCCTCAGTTTGTATTTTCTTTGCCATTCTAACAGAAATAATACAGACAAGAAAGTTGAGCCCAAACTGAAAAATCTAGATGCATATCCCAAACAGGAGGTCTTAAAAACGCCAGAGCTAGTAGTTAGTAAAGCAGCTTGTTTGATCAAATTATTATTGGAGTTGGGATCTACACCGCATAACCTCTTCACATGCTGCATTTCAGCAGCAAGATTTTGCAGAGTATCTTTCCTTTAAGGTTCAGGCTTTCAAAACAAGGGTTGTATTGTACCACTGGGTATCTAGCTGGGAAATCTTAAACCAAGGCACAGCACAGTAAAGTGGGGCAGTCCTGTCCTGGGCAGTGCGATGCGTGTGATATGACTCTACGTGTGTGGCAGCTGGCTGCATGTGGGGAAGGGAACAACACAATGGAGCATTTTTCAACTGCAGATTCGTAGCCATATAAACCACAAAAAATATTAAGCTCAGGGCCCAGAAGCTTCAAATAGATTTCATGCTCCCCTTTAGGCTTTTCTTAGATGGTATCCTGGGGCTGCATAAGGGATTTTGACCCAGGGAGGGGACAGGGAACATGAGTGGGAAATTCTTCCAACCACAGTAAAGCTAGGAAGTTCAAAAGCAAGAGACCACAAAAATCACCCCCTCCATTTCTGTCTGGGAGTTTGCTGCAGCTTTTATTAACAAACCACTGTGCTTATTTTAAATGAATTTAGCTGCTTAGCTTTAATTGAAAGCCATGTCAGAAAGGACGCATTTACAGCCAGCCAGCAGGAACACTGTCCCTCATAGGGGAAAACTCAGACACTGCAGGACATACCGAGGATACCTACAAAGACACATTGCATTTACCTCAACTTAATATCCCCTAAACACTAGGATAAAAGCATTTAGCAGTATTCTGAATGGAGGACTCGCAGCCAACAGTTAAACACCATGATTTCAGGCCAATTCCCCTAGGACACAGACCCAAATATTTGGCAAAGGAAGACGACATGATTATTGTGCCTCCCTGTAAGATGAACTGAGCTTTATCTCCCTCCTGCTGTACACAAATTCTCCTGTAGCTTTGAATCAAGACCATACGCCTTCCTGGTTCCAATTATAGGCTACAGTTTTGGGCCTTTTATGTAAAATAGTTCACGTCCAAAATTTCATTATGAATCCACAATACAGTACCTTTCAACTTGGACAAGCTGCCAACTCATTAAAAAGCTGCTTTTAATTTTTTTTTCATTATTACTAAAATGTCTCCATGGTGATGCGAGTTTCTCAACCCAAATAACCATAATGGATGAATTATAGCTGACATTACTCTGTTATTGCTCTGCTATCCTGGCAAAATAACAATGCCTTCACTGTCATAGTTAGAAGTGACCCAGGCTATTGAATGATGTATAAAAACCCATCCACATAGACAGCAATAACAACAATAATAAATACATCACAATAAATACATGAAGCACACAAACTGACCCAAATCCCCTTAAAGACAGAGACACACCCACTGACAAAAGGTTTGGGATTATGACCTTATATTCTATTCCACGCCTTCAAATGAGCTCACACTGAAAGATGTTGCATAGCCATCTCTTCACCAAGGGGAACTGCATCAATGCTGAATCTGACTTAACATAGGACTTGGCAATGGGGTAAAGTTCTCAGGATTGCTATATACAACATCCTGCAAGGCAAAGGGTTAAGACCCCAAAACCTGCAGAAAGAGCTATAGCCACAGGAGACTGCTACATGAACCGTCACCAAGGAGGGCTGGGGTGGGCACAGACAAGACACCAATCCCTCCACCACACTCAGCTTTCCACACTGAAGCCATTACCTTCGCATGAGAACATTTCATCTTTGGTGCGCTCTGATACTTAGCTGTCTGGGAAGAAGAAAAATCCATATACCACTCTGGTAGCTTGTTTGCTGGAAAGGCACAGAGTGACCCTGGGAACACCTGTCCTGACTTTGGACCTCCATCTTCCATGCTTTCGCTGTGCTGCCATTAGGAACCAGTGGGCGGATAATGGAGAGAGGAGTCCCCCTCCACGAGCACAATTTCATCATCAGTTCATAGTAACAGCCCAGCTCAAACGAGTGGAGTCAGGCTGAGTTTCTTCTTAAGCGCTGTGACCAGGAATCAAAGGCTCCAGGGCAATCGCATTGCCTTCAGAATAAGGACACTCCTAATGCTGATCTTACAGGTGTAAACAAATGGGGCCTGCTGCTGATCTAGGAAAGCTGTAGCAGCTTAAAAAGCAAAAATCAGAATGAATTCTGATACTGCAGTGAACTAATCCAGGTCCTGACATAAATATAAAGCAGATCTGTTGTGTGAGACAGCGTCACCTCCACAGCCACTTTTCAAAGGAGAACGGCTATTCAAAGTTTTGGCCTTTGTTTCATCCGAGAAAACTTTCAATTTTGGAATGGCTTATTTTCCTCAAAGATGACTGTTCAGCCTATAGTAAAGATTTTTTAGCTCTTAAATATATATATATGCAGACACTCACAAGCAGCACAGAGAATATGAAGTCTGCTAAGAGAATGCAAATGACATTTTGCTGGCTGCCACTGAAAACTTTGCCTTTCTTGCCTCTGCTGGAGAGCAGTTTTGCTGGGAAGCAAAACTTATTTAGGCAGCAAGGACAGAGCATCTCAGCAGATTTTCTCACTTTTGTGGGCTTGAAAAACAGACAGGCTTTTTTATATATATATATATATATATGTGTGTGTGTGTGTGTGTGTGTGTGTGTGTGTGTGTGTGTGTGTGTGTGTGTGTGTGTGTGTGTGTGTGTGTGTGTGTGTGTGTGTGTGTGTGTGTGTGTGTGTGTGTGTGTGTGTGTGTGTGTGTGTGTGTGTGTGTGTGTGTGTGTGTGTGTGTGTGTGTGTGTGTGTGTGTGTGTGTGTGTGTGTGTGTGTGTGTGTGTGTGTGTGTGTGTGTGTGTGTGTGTGTGTGTGTGTGTGTGTGTGTGTGTGTGTGTGTGTGTGTGTATATATATATATCTTGCTTTGTTGGCTGTGGCTACAGAAGCAGAAGGCACAGCCCATAAAATTACCATCTTAGAAAAACATCAACTTCTAATTAGCACAAAATATTACATACAGTGTACGTTTGCTTAGGGTGCTCTGTAGCAGAGAGAGTTATGTTACAACCCACCCGTCTGTTAATGTGAAATCACTAAAACCACATTTCCCCTGGTACACTGCACTACAATTACTTTGTTATCTTTATCTCCGCTCATTCATTTGGTGGTATGAGCAGAAGTCACATCTAGTTATGGAGATATACTGAGACAACATCTGTGGATCTGACGGAAAGCATGGGGTTCTTCATTGGTCTTTGCTTCCTATTTCCTCAGCAAGCAGCAGACTAGGATCAATGACTTTGAAAGTCTTGGCAGGGGGGACAGACGTGCTTCAACCACCACATGGTCATCCAGATTGTGGAATGATTTTAAAATTGCTTGATGACACCAAGGAAACATCATCTAGATCTTTTCACCCAAGAAAAAAAGTTGAGGCAAAACAAGAACTTGAAGAGAATATATCAAATAGGAAGGTGGGACAAAACCAAGAGATCTGCTGCAATACTGAACTCTCCTGTGACCAGGATCAAGTTCTGCATGCTGTGTGGTGTTAAACTTTACCAGAAACAGCAGTCTCTGTTACATGAGCCATTCACACCAAATAGCCAGAAGACTCAAGCATTGCTTCTATTTCTTGGGGTCACTGTTGTTGCTTCCTGGTTTCCACACAGGCCATTAGGCAGGACTTCATGGCAGTTAATGTGACCGCTGGAAAGCTCCCCCCCC